CGGGGGGGGGGGGGCATCTCCTTACCACAGGAGACCCCAGCAGCAGCCGGCCTGTGAACTGGGTGTGAGATGGGAAGAGGGGCTCACTGATCCTCATGGAAAAGGAGATAGGAACCCGGGAGAGCCCTGTCAGAAACCACGAGCCCGGATGAGAGTTCATAAAGCAGGAACATGTTTATTAGGCACCCTTGCTCCTCACAGAGGAGCAAGATCCAGGCCTGAGGCGCCCGCTCTGAGCTCTCTCGAAGCTGCAGGTATCGCCTGAGAATGTAGGCATGGGACCAGCCACCACCCCAAGAACACTATTTGGATGGAGCAGATCACCAGAGGTGGCCCTGGCATGAAACCAGGCAGGTGCCTGTACTCCACAAACACTGAGGAGTGGGAGGGGGCCCTCAGGACACCCACCCAGACTCTGGCAGATGGGTGAGGGACCTGGCTCCGAGGCATAAGCTACCCTGAGCCAGCAATGGGGAAAGAAACCAACACAGAGTCCCTGGAGGTCCCTCACTCACACCAGGTCCTGAGGGCCCAGTCTAAGTCTGCCTGCTTCCTCTTGGCCACAGCTCCAAACTTAGTCCCACACATAGGGGTTTCTAAAGACCTGAGAATTCTTGCCATCTTTCGGTGGTGTGGCCACTTGCTGGCTCTGGGCCACGTACATGTCTTCAGCTCGCAGAGTCGAGTTGGCACTGCCCATCACCTGGCTGTTGGCGGTTGCCCGTGGGAGGATGACATCGTAAGCACCTTCGGACTGGAAGGAAGAACAGGCAGTCTCACAGCCAGGGGATCAGGAGCCAGGTTCCTCCAGGGCAGATACACAAACACCCAGCTTCCTGCAGGGCGCTGCCTGCCAGCTCCTGCTTCTTGACCCGTTTGCCACCCCGTTCTTCTAGGACCCTGCTGGCAGGCTGGGATGGATGACTCTACTTCTGGGCATGGAAGTAGGTTCTGGCAACCTTGAGGAAATTCCCCGAGGGAGACCCTGTTCCTGAGCCCCTGCTCCTAGTTCCTCAAGGAATCCTCAGGTTCAACAGAAAGGCAGCTCCTACTGCTGCTGACGGCACTCACAGGCTCCCTTCCTCTATTGACCTTACTTCAGTCTCCAAAATGTTACTACAACACCTGGTACCATTCTGGTAGGTCCCAGGTATAGCCATACAACTCTGGTCTAAGATCTGGCTCTAAATGTTTTATCTGGAAGGAACATGAACCCATGGTCCCATTGGTCTTATCCCCATGAAAGAGAGCTGCTATCACCAAACATTCCAGGCCCCAGAATCCCAGACCAGCTATTGTTTTATCAGATCCAGGTGGCCCTCCCTCCTGTATGGGGATCTCCCACTTCCTAGAACAGCTAATCATTCCTGCTGACTAGAACATCTAGATCAGGGGTCTCACACCTGGGCATGCACCCATAATCCCCAGAAGTGTTTGCTAAACCTCACACCCTGGGAGTTAGGCCCCACCCTGTGGTAAGCTGGTAGATGTTTAACAACTAGGGTAGGGGTGGGGATGGAGTCCTGGGATTCTGTTTGCAGATCTGCTTTGAGGAGTTACTCCCATCTAGGTGGAACCCAAGCTACAGGTAGTAGATGTCAACAATCTTCTGGAGCAAGTTCTCAGGGGCTGCTCACTCTGGTGGTCTAGGGAACTCGTTCTGAGACCCAAGTAGGAACAGCAGCCCAGCTAGGTCAGATGACCCTCAAAACACACTGGGGGAGAAAAGAGGGGCAGCCTTGGGTTGGGGGGCAGCTCCTGAGGAAAGGGTTCTGAGGCTGGGAGCGGGGAAGACAGTCTCTGCTCACAGTCGTAATGAAAACTGCCCAGCACTGCTCCAGGGTGCAGATTTACCCTTAGTGACAGGCACAGCTGGAATTGGAAATCTCAGACACACAAACCACCCCTTGCTCCAGGCTTGGGAGGTGGGGAAGGGATGAGAACAGCACCCTGCTGACCTCCTGGCTTCCTGTTCCCAGCATTCTGCCAAGGCAGGTCGTGACCCAACCTCTCCTGCAACCACTGCCAACCAGGAGGCGGAACATACATGGAGTGGGAATCTAACCCACCTCCTTCCTGTTCCCACCACCCCCCTCCCCCCTTCTGGCTTCCAGAACCCAGGGGCGCTATAAGGTCAAGATTTGCTAGCGAAGCATGGTGGGACATGCCTGGATCCCAGCACTGAGGCAGGAGGATTACAATTTGAAGCTAGCTTAGGCTACACAACAAGCCTTTGTCTCCCCCAAACAAACAAACAAAAAAGACTTGCTATTTTCCAGGGGTATCAGGGCCCCTCTTGGGACAGTTGTGGTTGAAAATTAAATTTCTATTGAGACCTGCTACATTTGGTCCCCTGTCACTTTGGGGAGTGCTGGGCCGAGACCCTCCTTTGTCCGTCCCCAAGCTCTTTTGGGTAAGGCGAAGTTGGTTCTTCCTCCTTCTTTTCTTTCCTTTTTTTGGGGGGTGTGGGGGGGGATAGGGTCTCATGCAGCCCAAGCTGTTGAAGGCTGTAGCCAAGGATGACCATCAACTCTTAATCCTCCAGCTTCTACCTCCCAAGCACTAGGATTACAGATGTGCCACCATGCCCAGTTTTGACTATATATTCTCTACAGCTCCCAACCTCAAGCTGTGAGTGATGCCCAGGGACTTGGGGCAGGTCCCATGGCAGTGTCCTGGGGCTCTAAGTTGTCAGGGTTGATGTCCCCAGAAGCTCTGACATACTCTACTACCTATACTCAACCACATGCTGGTTGTACAGCCTCTCTACGACCAAATAAGGATGGATTCTGTGGCTGCCAGCAGGGTCACAGGAATCCCAGGGACCTACTCACCGGGCCTTTGTGCATCAGAGCCATCTCGGTGGGCTGGTACACACTGGTCAGCAGCTGCCCATTATAGCCGCTGTAAGGTGACACAGGTCTCTTTGCTGTAGGGATAAACAAGCACAATTTGAGAAATCTCTGGACTCTGACTCTCCTTCACCCTCTACAGCCCAAGAAACTCTCCTGGATACAGGGAAAAGTGGGCCTTGAGGCCTTGGTATAAACACCCAACCCAGGAGTTGTGACCTAAGGCTGTGGATGTGGGGCCCCTCCCATGCCCGGTGTCCCCTTGTTCAGAGGCACAGAACAGCACAATGCTGCTTGGTTCCCTGCAGTGTGGGGACCCTACCACGCACACACATTTAAACACACACAGATCCCACTACAGCTCAGAAAATGCCCTGTCAGCAACTTTCACATCCCCATCCACCCTCAGGGCCAGAGGCCAGAGAGGGGCACATGAGCCTTCGGCAGCCTTCCAAGACAGCCAGCCTCTTCTACTGCTGTGGGCCAGCTGCCAGGTGCTGAGGGAAATACAACTAAGACCCCTCAAGTCAAAGTTTCCACATGCCCTGAGTCTATGGGTGACTGCGGGTGCCCCTCCACATCAACCCAGGGCCAGGCCAGGGAGACTTCATGCTCAGCCTGTTCTGGGCCCCCTGGCAAGTTTCCAGAACAATTTGCAGCTTCAGGAAGGCTCCCTGTACCTTCCAGTGTATGTTTCAAGATCTGACCCACCCTCCTAGGCACCCCCAGGGTGTCTGAGGAGAGCTGCTAACCAGTCCTGGAGCCGAAGAGTGGGCCTCTCAGAAGGGACAGGCATAACTTCTGTGGGACTGAGGGGCCATGGCCTGTCTAGGACTCCTAAGTGCTGAGTTCACTCTATTGATTTTTCCATTTAGGAAAAAATGAGATAAAGACTCACAGCACAGAAGTGTCTGCCATGAGAACACAAAGTCTGAGACCCCTCTGGCCTCAGAAGCCGACAAGATAGGCACAGGGCTGGGGAGGGGCTTGCCATTCCTCCGGGTACCTGCCCAGTGCTCCTCTCTTGCTGGCTTCCCTAACTGCCCCCTGCACACTCAGAGGCCCACTTTGAGTGCCAGATGCTACCCCAGTGTGGGGGTATAAAGCATCCCCAGGGGGTAGATCACATACCATGTGCCCGCACAAGCAAGGATCACTGCTTTCCACAAAGCAGAGGCCATGAGGAACTCTGATTCTGGAAATTCCATTACTTCAATCCTGACTTTCTGATGGAGAGGTCCCAGAGCCAGCCCTGTATGATAACCAGGCACAGTGCCTGGCACACAGCGGGTGTCTAATAACTACTAGTTCTCCTTATACGGTTAACAAATGGGCTGCTGAGGTCACTACGTGAGTGGTTAGTCAGTTTGTTTGTGGTGCTGGGGAATTTTCCCTTTTTCTCAAGAGAATAGTTCCTGCCCTGCAGTAAAAAGACACGGGATAAAAGAGGGAACACAAGGTGTTGCATGACTCGGTCATTAAGAGCATTGGCTGCTCTTGCAGAGGACCCAGGTTCAGTTCCCAGCACCCACATGGCTGCTCACAACGGCTATAACTCCAGTTCTAGGGGATTCAATTTCCTCAATGCCGTCTTCTGCTTCTGTCATCTTTGGGCACCAGCATGCATGTGGTGTACATATACACACTCGGGCATACACACATACACATAAAATTTGTTTTTTAAAAAAGGGAACGTGTGGGCTGGTGAGATGGCTTAAGGAACAAGGGCACTTGCCACCAAGCCTGGCAGCCTGAGATCAATCCCCAGAAGCCACACAGTAGAAGGAAAAAAATGACTCCTGCAAGTTGTCCTCTGACCTCTACTTGTGCACCGTGGCACATGTGCCTCCAAACACGTACACATAATCAATACATAAATGTAATTTAAACAAAAAAAAAAGAGAGAGAAGGGACCACTAGGGCTGGATTTGGTAACACATGCCTATGATTCCAGCACATGGGAAAGGGGAAAGATCAGGGGTTCCGAGTTATATAGTGAGTTTGGGTCAGTCTAGGCTACACGAGATCCTATCCAGCCTCAAACACACACACACACACACACACAGAGACAGAGACAGAGACAGAGAGAGAGAGACAGAGAGACAGAGAAAGGAAGACAGGAAGATGTGTAAGAGGGTCTCCTTGACCCACCTGAGGCTGGTTCATCCATGGAAAATGCTTTGTTTTCTACAAACATGCTCTGGCCTGTCTGCTCTTTCAGGATGGTCTCGTAGCCCACACCCCGGGTGGGGTACATGTCCCCCTGGTAGCTCTGCTCTGGGCTGGGCTTGGTCACCAGAGAGACTTCAGGGATGACGTAGAAGAGGACAAAGGCCCAGGCATTGGCAGCAAGGGCAATGGCCAACGTGGGGTCATCCCAGGTGGGGCTGTGGTGCTGCTTATTGCCGTAAGTGTACATGACAATCCACACCACCCAGATGGCGATGGAGATGGCTGTGCTGAGCAGCACAAAGACCCCATGTTTCCGCCAGCGCTTAAAGCGGCCACACAGGGTGGGCCAGGCCCCCAGGAAGGCCCCCAGCAGCAGCAGCATCACGTAGATGAGCGCCATGACAAAGTCCATGTTGGCGATGGCACAAGGGGAGGCCATGGTCCAGCCAGTGCTGCCGTTGCCTAGAGAGCCAACATCGCCACCTCCCCGCACCAGGGTGATGATCAGCCACTCCGTGTTGATAATAACCTCCACTAGGGTCAGTAGCAGAGCCACGGTGAAGATCACCCAGCCCTGGGGCCCGTGGTTCTTTCGGGCCAGAAAGTTGAGGGCAAAGACGTGGGCCACCAGGCAGGAGAAGCAGATGGCAAACAGGACCCCAAAGAGGAAGCGCCGAGAGGCACAGGTAGAGAAGTCGGGCTTCACCACGCAGGCAAATACCAGGCAGAAGAGGCCCAGGGTGCCCAGCAGAAAGAACACCTGGGTCCCCAGGAGACTCCGCTTCTTGGTGTCCTGCACAAACGGGAGGCTGGCCACAAGGATGATGGTGAGCACAAATGTAGTGATGATGCCCGCGCCGGCCACTGCCTCCAAGATGATGCCCCATGCCCCAGAACGGTCACATAGGTTGTAGTAGAGGGGGTCCAGGTCTGGGCTGCACCCAGGTGGGGCGTGGTTCTGGGCCCAGGCCCCTGGGAAGAGGAAGAGAGGCAGTCCTAGGCACATCAGCAAGGCTTTGTGGGGGGCCATCCTGGCTCCCAGGCCAGGCTTCAGCTGGGTCCCTAGAGACAGATGAGAAATAGGCATAAGCAGTCCTCCCAAGTAAGACATGAATATACATGGTTCTGTTTCCCTCATCCTGCACCAAGGCAGGTAGGTGGTGCTGGCTGACCAGGGTATTATTGCTCTAGGCTTCTGAGTCCTTTTTAAAAATTATTTATTACTTATTTTTATTTTATGTGTATGAATGTATTGTCTGCCATGTGTATAAGCGCACCTGTGTGATGCAATGCCCGTGGAGGTCAGAAGAGGGTGTCAGATCCCCTGGAAATGGAGTTAGGATGGTTGTTAGCCACCATGTGGGTGCTGGGAATGGAACCCAGGTCCTCTACAAGAGCAATCAGTGCTCATCGCTGAGCCATCTCGTGAATCCTTAACTCAGAACTCATAAAAATCCATCTGACAACAGTTCAGAGATGAATTCCATCTGTGTCCTAGCCATGGAAAAGGAGGAAGCCATCTTTGGCGTTTCAGCGTTCTTCCTTCACCCATCAAAACCTAGGCTCAGCGGTTAAGAGAGCCGGCTGTGGGCTGGAGAGATGGCTCAGCGGTTAAGAGCGCCGCTGTGGGCTGGAGAGATGGCTCAGCGGTTAGGAGCATTGGCTGCTCTTGCAGAAGACCTGCATTTAAATCCCAGCACTCACATGGTTCCTAATAACTGTAGGTAACTCTAGCTCTAGGCTGGCACCCTCTTCTGACCTCCATGGGTATTGCATGCATGGGTGTACTTACATACATGCAGGCAACACACTCATACACATAAAATAAAAACAAATAATTTTTTTTAAACCTAGATTTAAATATTCCCTGAGCTCCTGTAGCTAAGGGTTGGGAGGTAAAGGGCTTGTGAGCCAGTCAAAATCAAGCACAGTGCCTACTCAGCACTGTCCCTCTGCCCTGAAACTTCCAGGGCTCAGGTCAGATACTGAATCTAAACGCATGTCCTAGGGTTGCCAAAGTCCATGGTTACCCAACCACACATTCCCCTACTCAAAGTACTTAAGAGGCTCTTCCTAAGTACTTAACAAGCACCTGTAACAGGTTTAACTTGCAGCTAGAAAAAAAAACGTTGAAAAGTTGTTTCTGAGCCCTTCCATGCCCATCCTTCCTACCTCCTCTTTTTCTTTCTTTCTTCCCCTTTTTCCTTATTTTTATTTACTTATTTCAGAAAGAGGATCTTGCTATGTAGCCCATGTTGTTCTGGAACTCAGTATCTAACCCAGGCTGACTTTAAACCTGTGACTCCTACGGCCTCTGCCTCTACAGTGCTAGGACTATAGGCACAGGACATCAAGACTGCCCTCCCCCTTTTAGTGCTGAGTTTCCTCTTTTGAATCTAGAGTTCAATACTAAAGACAAGGATAAAATAAAGAAATTCCCCTGCTGAGGAGTTAGTGACTTAATGCAAAAATTTTCCAAGGAAACATTAACATTTTAAAAGCCAACAACCAGGCAAAGGCAACAAAATCCCAAAGGGATTAATCTTTAATGGAAGACATCAGGACACTGTAATGAAAAGGGAAGAAAGATATATTTTATTAACACCAGAAAGGTAACTTATTACCCCATCTGCCCACTGCAGCTATACCAAATGTTGCAGATCTGTGCCAAAGAAGAAAACCCAAACTGGCCCTCCAGGATGATTTTTCCCCTATGAACTAAAGGGTACCATAGGTTAAGAGAAATTCAAGATCAAATCTGAGGGGGCATGTGCAGCTCAGTGGGAGTATGCTTCCCCAAAGTATGTGAGGCCCTAGGTTCCATCCTCAACACTGCCAAAACAAAACAACGAAACCCCAACTAGTTTGTGAGTTTTCCATTAAAACTCATTATTTTATTTTATTTATTGTTATTTCGAGACAGGATCTCCCTGTAGCCCCAGCTGGCTTGGGACACTCTATGTAGAACAAGCTGATCTCCATCTCACAGAGACCTCCCTGACTCTGCTTCCCAAGTGCTGAGATTAAAAGTCTGCACCACCATGCCGGGCTGCATTAGAAGCTTTAAATGGATGTAGAGACCTAATACTGAAATTTTAAATGCTTTAAAAATAAACCATATAAGGCTGGGCGTGGTGGCACATGCCTTTAATCCCAGCACTCAGGAGGCAGAGGCAGGTGGATCTCTGTGAGTTCAAGGCCAGCCTGGTCCACATAGTGAGTTCCAGGACAGCTGGGGCTACAGGAAGACCTTTTTATTGGTCTCAAAAAGACAGAGAGAGAAAATGGATGTAAGAAGGAATAATGAATAAATAAATAAACCATATTAAAAAGTCCAGAATTCTCTGAGATGCAGCTCTCCCATTTATGTAGTCCTTCCTCTCCTGCTTAACCAGGAGGGTTACTAAGGTCAGCAACCAAGCTAGACTGGAATGATAGTGACCACTAGTGGCTAGGAAGGGAATGGCACTATCTGCATTAATGCTTTCCCCACCAATGCCCATTTATTTACTTACTTATTTAGTCCACCCCCACCATGACAGCCTGAACTTTTGAACTATGAGCTAGAATAAACCTTCCCTTCTCAAGTTTGCTTTTTACCTGTTATTTTGTCATAGCAACAGGAAAAGCAATTAATACATCTGAATGAAACTAACATAAAAATTACCAATATTCAAATAATTTTCTCGCCCCACCCTCCCTTTTGTTTCCGTGGCTTCTTTTTTTCCTTTGGTGGGGGGTTGAAATAAGCTTCACCTGGTAGCCCAGAATGACCTAAAACTTGTGGCAATCCTCTTGTCTCTGGAGTGCTGTGATTACAGCACTTTAAGCCATCATGCCCAGCTTTTGCTCCTTGAAAACATTCCATGGCCCAGCATGGTGACACACATCTGTCATCCCAGCACTTGGGAGGTGCAGACAGGAAGGTCAGGAGTCTAGGTCCTCCTTGGCTACACAGCAAGCAGACTAGTCTGAGCTACAAGAGACCTTGTCTCGGGTTATTTTAAGCCATCTTGGCTATCTCCTAACTTTTCCTCAGCCACCACCTACCTTTAACTCTTAAATTTAACATGCTTACATAAGCTTAATAAATGTTTCCCTAAATAAATATCATTGTAAAAGTTAGTTTCTTGGCCGCATGTAGTGATACACACCTTTAATCACAGCATTCAGAAGGCAGAGGCAGGCAGATCTCTGTGAGTTGAGGCTAGCCTGGTCTACATAGTGAGTTCCAGGCCACCTGGAGCTACAGGGAGACCCTGTCTCAAAGAGACCAAAATAAATAAATAAATAAATAATAAATAAATAAATAACAACAACAACAAAAACCCCACAGTTTCTCTTCATTTCCCCTACCCTGAGACTCTGTATACTGGTAAATCAATAAAGCGTCATCAGTATTTACAAGTGCTGGGAAGAGAAAGACCATAGGAGAGAATTAATTGGTAAGAAGTCATACCCAGCCATCCAGGAGCTAATTCACAGATAATAGCATTGTGGGCTCCTAAATGTTCAATGTTTTAACATGTAGACAACCAGATAGAATTTGGGTTGCAGTTAGAAATTTAGAACAGAGCATTGAGAACTACCAAGAAAGACTGGAGAAATGGCTCAGCAGTTAAGAGCACTGGCTGCTCTTGCAGAGGACCCGGGTTTGAGTTCCCAGCACCCCCACGGGGGTTAACAACTGTCCATAATTCCAGTTCCAGGGAATCCGACACCCTCTTCTGACCCCTGCAAGCATTGCACAACACAGGTGCATTTGCATCCAGGCAAAACACTCATACACATAAAATAAAAATAAATAAGCAAATAATTTGAGAAAGATAATGACCAAGCAGCACCTGCCCCTTTGAAGGTTTAGAAGTCAGGGTTGGGGACACAGCGCAGTAGCTCAGCATTTACCTAGCCTACGTGAGTCAATCCCCAGCACCGAGAGAGGAGGAAGGGCTATAGAACAGGCAATTATTCCAAGTTTACCAATATTTACTGTGCACCTAGGGGGATAAGGCCCTATTACTTTCAGAGCTCCGGAAAATATGAAAATGGACAAACACATGCTAGTTAGGATTTAATAAAAATACAGTACATATACCAAAAAAATGCCTCAACTGAACATGCTAAGTGACATAGGACGGAATTTACCTGTACAAGAGAGATGTTGCAGGAAGACAGAAGAGCCAAGAGAGAGGAGACGGGGGACAATATAGTGTAGCATTTTATAATTTTATTATTATTGACTAGGGATGTGGTCCAGTGGTAGAGAACTTGCATAGCATATATGAGGCCTTGAATTTGATCCCCCACTACTTCCAAAAAAGGAGATGGGACGAGATGGTTCAGCATGTCTGGGTTTAGATCCCCAGCACCCATGTAAAAATCTGGGCACAGCTGTATGGCTCTGTAGTCTCAGCTCTGGGGAAGGGGAGACAGGAGGATTCCTGGGGCTTACTGGCATGCTTGTCTAGCTTAATCAGTAATTAAGTGTAATCAGTGAGCTCCAGGTTCAGTGAGAGACCCTATCTCAAAAAATAAGATGGAAAGAGATTACACCCAGTATCAACTCCTGGCCTCCGCATGCACATATACCACATACACATGCACATACACACGAACAGTACACACACACACACACACACACACACACACAGCATTTTACCCAGTATTTAGCAAAAATGCACCAAGAATGCCAACAGTGATAATTTAATAAATAGCCCCATGTCTCAGACATTGCCCCAAGTCACAGACTTAAGGTAAAGCCTTGAAGAATGAGACACATGGGATGAGTTAAGCAAGCGAAAGAACCAGAAAAGATAACATAAGTCAACGCCCTGAGCTCCAAGTTCAGAGCAAGAGAGAGAAAACCGAGTTCAAGCATGGAATGAACTCGTGGCGGCTCAGGCTGGTCAGAAATGCTGTGGGCAGGAGTCAGGGGACTTATTCCAGGCAATGGTGAGCCACTGTAGGCAGTATGGAGCACGTTGGGGGCAACACCAAGGTTGTGCTTTCTGAGATGAATCTGGCATAAAAGCAGAAAGCAATCACTTTATTGGAGACATGTTTATCCCAGTTTAGAGAGCAAGGCCAAAGGCAAAACCCTAATGGCCAGATAGATCTGAGAGATTCTTGCCAAAACACCACCTAGGGACTAGGAGGACAAGGGGGGAAGGGTACCATACTATAGGTACATCTGATAACAGCTAAGTCATTCCAAGGCTGGAAATGGAGGACAGTGAAGGCAAACACAAGCGCAAGGCCATAGTTGCATTCCCAGGGAAGAAGAGGAAGGAAAAACACCTGGCTCTACCTTGCTGGTCCCAGCATCCCACAGGCACTTGTGCCAGGACCAGGGAATAGTTACAAACCTGCCCTGTTTCCTCTTGACTTTGCTGTTGGTTGAACAGTTTCCTCCTGACCCTGATCCTTCAAAAATCTCAGCTCTGCCACCACACTCCCAGTGTGGAAACCCAGAAGGACTCAACCAGAGGGTCTATTCACAATCTCGATACAATGCTGCTGCCCAAGTGCCCTGAAATGTACCATTCCTATCCCCACATGTTTCGTTCCTCTGCTTCTTCAGAAAATAGAAAGGCAAGTGGGGAGATGGAAACACAGTCAGAGGTGGGGAAATTGGGCCAGCTGGGCTGGGCTCTGTCAGTGGAGGTGAGCAAGACAGTTCAAGAGAAGGCGGCTCAGGGCAGCTCAGAGCCAACCATTTGGTTCAGCTGTTGCTGCCTTTTAAGAGGATGACTGAGGGGTAGACAGGAGGGACCAGCTCTGCCCAGAAAGGCTCAAAAGCTCTGCATGCACCTGCCCCCTGCTGTGGGTCCCCAGACCCTGCCTTTAGACTGAACCTCTTGAACTCTAAACTTTTGAGTCATGTGACCTACCTCCTCTACTCAGCTCTGAGTCTTCAGACTTAGCACCCTCTGTAACTTCTACTCTGGGCCTTCACACAGTAAGCATGTGACTCAGGACCACTGAAGGGAATCATGCCTGCCATCTACCCCTGGCCCATTTCTACCTTCTTCATTTTGCAGTCACATCTGCTTAAAGGTTTTCTGGGAATCTCAGGAGAGGAGAGGGACAGGGGCCTCCTGCCCTGGGGGGCCTCCGAGAGCCCACAGCTGAGGCCTGTTTCAGATTGTTTTAAGGACAAAAGGACTTTTTACTTCAGTTGTACAAATATTTTTAATCACCTCTGAAATCAGCCTTTCCCAAGGCTCAGCCAGCCAGCCCGCAGCTCTGGTCTGAGGCAGTGCAAGCCAGTTCCCAAATCCCCTTCCTCCATCTTTCTCTCTGTAGGGGGAACAGAGATTTGGCTCGGCTGGTGGGCTGAGACCCAGCTAGCCCTGACTGGTTTTACCCAGCAACAGGTGAGGTAGCAGTCTTCATCTTCTCATCTTTCTAGAATATCATCATCATCATCATCATCATCATCCTCATCATCCTCCACTAAGGAACCAACACACAGATATAGACATACAGACAGACACACACCATGTGGAAAAACAAGCTCCAAAGTCTTCAGAAGGCTGCCTAGGTCTGTCTACCAGGATCAGGGCCAGAGAGTATACAGACCAAAGGCCGGGCGGCACAAGGTCCCATTCAATAGGGGAATGCACAGCCAGACACCCCTCCCTTAGCTACAGCCCCTCAACAGCTGACCTGGAAAGATGGATGGACACGTGGCCAGCCTTCTGTCCTATTCTCCCATCCACCACCTCCTCCTTTCTCTCAGTCCTCGGCCAGGTGCTATTGTCTCAGGCCTCTGACCAGCAGCTATTCAAAGCATCCAATAAAGAATGGGCCTGGGGAGACGCTGGTGCACGGAAAGAGCCACATCAGTCTAATGTCCTCCTGTCTCCTTCCCAAACCAAGAGTGGGTAATTGGACCGAAATGCCTTGAGCATTCGGAGACTCAATGCAATCAAGGGTCTGCCCCGGAATGTCACTGTGGAATGTGCCCCACCCCCATTCCCAACAGCACTACTCCCTCCCAGCCACACTGTTGTGGGGAGGGGGTTCTCTAGGCCTTCAAAGCCACACTTGCAATAGATGCTTGTTTCCATTCTTCAAGATCAAGATAGGAGGGTCTTAAGTGGTTTTAGAGCTTTCTAGGCGTAAAACTGTTGGCGTGGGCTGGAAGTGGAAAGCACGCTGGAAAAGTCAGGGGGCGAGTAAAGTACTGGGATCTAGAAAGTCAGGCCTCCACAAGGAGAGGCTCCATAGATAGGCCTCTGAAATCCCAAACTTCCCGAGGGAAGATCCCGAGGCCTCTTCTTTCCACTCCAGCCCGGCTGCTGGGGTCTACACCCGCGCGCCCCTGGAAGTCTGAAGAGAAAGAAGGGAACCAGCTTATCCTCCACCCCTGTCCTCTAGCCACAGAAACCTGCCTTCCCCATCCACCGCAGCGAACCGCCGAGAGGACGCCAGCCCACAAGTCACGGTCCACGGTGGCCCCGCGGGTGCGCGAGTGGGTGGAGAGACACCCCTGGGACACACGGATCGCGGATTCTTCCCCCGCCCTCCACCCGGAGCCGCAGCGCCGGGCTGCTCCCATCCGTAAGTCTCCAGCTGGCTCCGGTTTGGAAACTTTTCTGCGAGCGGAGTTGGCACGGCATCGTCCGCCCCCCGGGTCTCCATCCCCTGCCTTCAGCCCTCGCCGACTCCCTGCCAGCTCCATCCGGCTCTTCCGGGCGGAGGGCGGAGCGCGGAAGCAGCAGCCCTTACCTGGGACGCACAGCCAGCCCGACTCCCGGCAAGGCTTTCGGAGCCAACTTCGGCCCCGGGCGGAGTGCGGGCGGGGACGGGAGGGGCTCTGCAGAGGGCGTGGGTCCAGGCTTGGCCCGGGCTGGGGTGACGGGGCCCGGGCAGGGGTGCAGGGCGCAGGGCCTGACTCCGGGGGACCCCGGCTGAGCTGAGCGCGCTCGGTGGCTCGCTCTCCCGCCGGCCTGCCCCTGCGCACCGCTCGTCTCTCTCTCCGCGAGGGTAGGCCGGGCTGTATCACCGTGACATCACCTCCATTCCGGGCGCTTATCGGGCGCCAGCAGCGCTCCAGGTACGTGCGATCCGCTTCCCCGGGAACAAAGCCCGCCGGGCCCTGCCCTGCCCCCTCCGACTCACCTCCAGGCTCGGCCGACTTGCACTTTCCGGTTGGGAAGGGAGATCAGAGTTTCTGGCCAAGCTGGCGTCTGGGTTGTTGCTGTTTACTGACACGCCCCCCGCACGCGGGCGCGCGCGCACTCACGCGCACTCACTTTTCTGGACTCGCTTTTCTCTCTGCAAAGCGGTTCTTCGGGATGCAGCCCAGCACAGCCCTCGTGGGTCGGCTATCCTCTGCCCGCATCTCCCCAGCGATCGCACGCATCGACAGGCGCGCGGAGGCTACCTTGGCACGGCTCCCCGTGGCGGACACTCAGCCTTTTGTCACCTTCGTCCTGGCTTTCCCAGGAGACACATGCCCCTCACAGTTCCCTGCTCCGGGCTGGAGTGAGGCACACACTCAGACACAAAGTCCGTCTTTGTCACGTCTTCTGCACTCCCCTCCCCTTCTGAGCTTGCACACGTGGACACACCACACCACACAGCGAACGTGGGAATGCCACCGTGCACGCCCCTAACTTCGTGGACCGAGTCCAGAACCACCACGGACCGTTGCCGTGGGCCTGATCTCTGGGAGCTCGAGTTTCCCGCAACGCGCCCTCCAGTCCCCGCGTCCTGGTTCCCTGGGGCGATCTGCCCTAATTAGTCTTCCCAGTTTTGTTCCCTGAGGTACAGTCTTTAACCGGGTCCCTGTGGTCTCTGCGCTCCAGGTCTCCTTGTCCCTGACTCCGAGTCCGGCCCCTCCCATATCCAGGGGACCTTTCCACGAATTCGGGTTCCCGTGAGCCCCACCTCCACTCCCTACCCCGAGGTGGATCGAAGGGTTGCCTCCCTCTCCCCTCCGGCCCCAGGAATCTGCCGATCGGGAACCGCAGAAATACGGAAGCGAATCCCAGCTGAGGCCTCTCTGGCCCAGTAAACAAGAGGGTTCCCCCCCGCCCCCCGGCCACCTTCCCTGGGGACCGCGGTCCCTCCGGAGTGGACTGCGTTATTCTCGAGGCACAGCGTGGGGTCTGATTAGCTGGCATTGAGCCCCCAAGGGAGCCAAGCCGCAAGAGCAAAGGGGAGGTTGTTGGGCCTGGCAGAGACCCTGGGGACCCGCGGGGGAGGGCAGGGCGCCCGGTCTCGGGGTGCGGGTTCTCACGACGCGGAGTTGCCTGGGGGATCGCCAGCTGCGCGCAGTGGGAGCCAGCCCCTGGCTGGGCGTGTTTGCTCAACCCTGATTGCCCTCGAGGGGGAGGGGAGGCAGCTGGTCACTGGCGAGGGGGTAGCCAGGTGCGGGGGAGCAGGGAGCAGGGGACCGGTACCTCCCTACCTAACGTGTGTTTGCATGGCTCGGTCTATGACAACCAGGAGTCTAAATGCAATGAATCACCTGGAGCTGCCGCTGATAAACCTCAGACACCTACTATACCTCTCTTCTCACTGCTGGGTTCGTGTTTGCTTAGTGGTGGGGGCTGCTTTGGCTGTGGGGCCCTGGCTTTTCTAGAACTCAGAATCCTTTCCTGTGCCTTACATTTGCTGGCAGGGGAAGTTTTGGAGAGGGGGGTGGCAAAGCGTGAATTGTCTCTGTGGGTGACTGTTTTAGGACTATGCTTTATCCCTCCTCTCCCACTCCTAAATCCACCTTCCACCCCAGGGTTAAGGACTCAATGCTCAACTTGAATGGAGCAGTCAGTTGGTGCCCACACTAGAAAGGCAAACAGACTGGTCAGACCTAAGTAAGCAGACTAAGTCGCCCTGGCCTGTTACCTGGTTTTCATTCACCAGCAACAAATGCCTGACTCTCGCTGAGAGGGATGGCTCTATGGCATATGTGAAAAGCCAGCTAAGAGAGCCAGGGGACCCAGTAGAGGAAATAAGACTGGTCTTGGATCCTCAGACCATCTCATTTTTTTTTCTTTTAAAAGTATTTTATTATTATTATTATTATTATTAGTCTTTTTGAGACAAGATCTCCCTGTAGCCCCAGCTGGCTTGCTAGGCAGACCAAGCTATCCTTGAGCTCACAGAGATCCATCTGCCTCTTCTCCTGAGTGCTAAGATTAAAGGCCTGTACCACCATGCCTGGTTTTATTTATTATTTTTATTTTATGTGTACGAGTGTATTGCCTACAAGTATGTAAGTGCACCCATATTGTGCAATGCCTCAGAGGTCAGAGGAGGGCATCAGATTCCCCTGGAACTGGAATTAAGGACCGTTCTTAGGTGACATGTGGGTGTTGGGAATCAAACCCGGGTCCTCTGTAAGAACAGTCAGTGCTCTTAGCGGCTGAGCCATCTCTCCAGCCCCTAGACCATCTCATTCTGTTTTGGTCTTTTTTGAGACAGGGTCTCCCTGTAGCCCCAGCTGCCCTGGAACTCACTAGGTAGACCAGATAGGCCTCAACTCAAAGAGATCCACCTGCCTCTGCCTCCTGAGTAGTGGGATTAAAGGTATACCACCAAGCCCAGCAGACCATCTTATTCTTACTTCCCTCTTCCAGAACCTCTTTTCCCCAGGGTCTCCAAAACCTCAACTCTTAGGTTGGATTTGGTGGCCCATGCCTGTAATTCCAGAATTTGGATGCTGGAGGCAGGAGGATCAGAAGTTTAAGGCCATCTCAAGATCAGCCTGGGCTACATGAGACCCTGTCTCAAAACAAAACCCCAATTCTTATTCCCAGCCTTACCCGCACTGAGGGAGGGCAGGGGTATGTGGTCACCCACTGAGAGTTATTTAGAAAAGGACCCTGCCCAAGGGGCTGAGCCCTGCCCTAAGCCAGCCCTGTGAGGCAGCTGGCAGTAGAAATATAGGCCAATATCCAAACTGTTAGTTCCTCCCTGTACATCCAGGCTGCCTTCTGGAACAAGATCTGCCATCAAAGGACAGAGCAAGTCCCTCTGGGCCTCCGGGGCTCTAAGATCCCTGTGGCACTCTGCTTTAGTCCCTGGGGCCTGTGCTGATCAGGGATTGGGAGAAAGAGTTGGGGACCCTGTGGTTGAGTCAGACCCTGTCGTGTGCTGCTGCTTGTAGGCTGCAATGCTAGAGGGAAAGTCCTGTGGACCTGAAGTTGCCCTCTGCGACTCTAGCGACAGGGCCATCTGTGTTCCCCGATGCCTCTCACTCTGATTTTTAATAACCCATTATGAACTCCATGTTCACCAAAATAAATAACCTTCGGAAATGGCCCATGAAAGGTATTGCCCACCTATGGCTCCAAGCACTCCTAGAGTTACTAGGACTGTAGCGACCAGCTCTGCCCCTCCTTCCCCCCATTCTAAGTGACACGCAAGCTGACTGGCACAGCACCTTTATTCACTTAACCCTTTTCTGAGCTGCCAGAAAGCCCCTCCATATCAGAGCCTTAAGAGGCGTGCTGTCTGCTGTGCAATGGGGCATCACCTCATTTCTCTGACCCCCACTTTCTTTTTTAAAATAGGAGTGACAGCACACCCTCCAAATGCAGCCTGTCTAGAATGTTCCTCCCACAAGCCTGATACTTACAGATGGTCTGTGGCCAGACCCTTCTCTGTGTGACAGCCCAGCCCCTCTGAGCCGTAGATCTTTCCACTAAAGGCATCTAACAGTTTTGAAACCACACTGTGGGAGAAGTTGCTTCTCCAACATTCTTTTAATTCCATTTCACCAGCACTAGAAGAGGCTTGCCTGGCTATGCTCTGGGCTGTGGCCTATGCTGGCTGGTCTGTCTATCTGATGCCCTCTTCTGTCCTCCATGGGCACTGCACGACCCTGGTGCACTTACACACATATACGCATAACAAAATGTTTAAAAATATTTTTGGTCTTTTTGAGACAGGGTCTCCCCGTAGCCCCAGTTGGCCAGGAACTCACTCTGTAGACCAGGCTAGTCTCAAACTCACAAAGATCTTCCTGACTCTGCCTCCTGAGTGCTGGGATTAAAGGCATGTGCCACCATGCCTGGCCCAATGCTGATCTTTCTATCTGAAGCATCCTGTCCCTTCTACCCACTGTCTCTCTCTAACCAAAAACATTTTAATTGAATTTTTGTGAATTTCATATATTTTTATCATATTTAGACCCTCTCCCTTACCTGTACCCTTCTTATAGCCCTCCACCTGATTTCATGTACTCAGTCGTATACATTAAGGCATATCAATTTAAGTTTGTGTCCCCAAACGTCCTTCAGTGTGTCTATCCACTAGAGCCTGATTAACCTATCTAGCATCACACCCTTAAAGAAAACGGACTCTCCCTTTCCCAGCCATTATCGGTGGCCAGTAGTTCCTCAGCTAAGGTTGGGGCTTCTTCCCCACTTCTATGCTGGGATTTCCTCTGGCTCGAGCTTTCATGGGTCTTAGTGCAAGCTGTTACCCTTGCTGTGAATTCAAATGAGTAACTTCTCAGCTGGCTGGAAAACTGTATTCCCTTATGGTCATCCACTGCCTCTGGCTCTTACAGTCTTTCTGCCCCCTCTTCCACAATGGTCCCTGAGCCTTGAGATGACAGAGGCTTGATATTGGTATCTTAAGACTAAAATTTTTTAAATTATTTCTTATTTTTATTTTATCACTTTATGTGTATTGTTTGCATATACGTTTAAGTATGCCTGTGTCGTGCAGTGCCCTCAGAGATCAGAAGAGGGCATCAGATCCCCTGGAACTGGAGTTACGGATAGTTGTTAGCTGCCATGTGGATGCTGGGAGTCAAACCCAGGTCCTCTGACTTTTAGAAGTCTTCCCTGCCTCAATGTCCCTACCTCTGAGAAGCCTTACTTTCCCCAGAAAGAACCATCCTGAGCTGCCCTGTTCACCCGGAGCCTACCGTGCGCTGACTTACCATTTATCCTAGTGTGTCATAATTGACTTCTAAATTGTTATTTCCCCAATTAGACTGTCCCTTTCTCAAGAGTAAGGACTATTCTTGTCCCAGCATCTGACACACAGCCTGGCACACAGTAGATGTTTTTAGCAGATGCTTGTAGAATATCCATTCTGTGCAGACCACTGCTGACCTACCTACCCCCTTACAAGTGGTGTCACACCACCCCTGACCTGCAGTGCCGCAACATCCTGGGAAATAGGCAAGCCTTATATCTGCAGAAGAAGTTAACCTGTCCCCAGAGCAGCTAGCAAGACTTTGTAACCCATTTTGGATATAGAGGAACTTACCTAAGGTATGCTAGAGGATACACATACATTCCCAAGAAGGGACCTCCAGTTTGCTCCTCGAGCAGGCATCATAACCCTGTGGAATCTCTTAGGGGAGTCAGGGAGGCTAGCCCTGACTTAGGGGTGAAGGACTCTGATGGAGTAACAAACAGTACCTCTAAGTCAGACATGGTGGTGCATCCCTATAATCCCAGCATTTGGAAGGTAGAGACAGGAGATCAGGAGTTCAAAGTCATCATTGGCTATATATTGGGTTGGAGGCCATCCTATGCTACTTGAGACCCTGTCTCAGCCCCATCCCCCAAGAAAGAAAGAAGGAAGAAGGGAGAGAGAGTGGGTGCTAGGGAGCCATCCATCTCTCACTGAGCTGAGGGTGGGGCCTGGAACCCTGTGCCAGGCAGCTGGGAACCCCATAGCTGCTGGTAAACAGTTTGTATTTCACCTCTCCTTGCTTCTGGTTATACATTAACCGTTCCTGCTCCAGCTGCAGTGTTAGGCCCTTTTCTCTTAGGTTCATTGAGCTTTCTGCCTGGTTACTTTAAGAAACAGGAAGCCAGGACCCAGAGAGTTAAATACTCATTCACCACAACTGGCTACCCATGGGTGAGCTCTCTGGAATTATACCCGAAAGCGAAAGCGGGCTTTGGGCAAAGCCCTCTGGAATGTCACCTGACGCTGAACCCTTCCACGAAACCTGCACCTCCCTTGTCCTGTGTCAACCCCCTCATTTCCCTCCCACCCCCTCCTTCCATGGCTCAGTGGCAGTGAGTAACCAACTCCTTGGGAAGGGAAGATTGGATTTTCTAAGTCATCTGGGTCTAGCCAGCCCCAGTCAACAGAGTAGGCAGACCCCAAGAGCAGGACCTCAAAGGCAAGCCTAGGTCTTCCAGACACTCAGCCTACCCACCTCTTACAAAAATGAGGGGGAAGTGTATGACCACACTGCATTCACTCTCTGCCCCCCTTCAAGAGTGGCATCCCAATCTGAGAACATTTCAAGGGTTAGCTTGCTTTGTGTCTTACCCTTAACCCCCAAACGATCCCCTTGCTCAGAGCTACCCCTCCCATCATCCTCCAAAGCCCCATTTGGTGTGGGATGTTCACTGATTTCACCCCAATGCTCTGATCAGAGCTGTCACTGGTTCCTATTGCACCAAAGTCAAAGTCCAGATTCCCTCTGCTGGCACATTCAATGCCTCTGACCTGAACTCAAGGACTCTCCTTCCTTTTCTCCACAGGAAACTGTCACTCCAGCCAGAGAGGCCTGAATGTGCGAGCCTCCCACACTGGCCTTCCTGTGGCTGGCTCACACTGCCTCCCCCACTGTACCTCAATCCGGGATGTTTGTTCTCAGCTCCTCTCAGCCTGCCAGGGACCATCTCTCTTTCAAGCCCTGGGATCCTACTGGAAAGAGCACTGGCGACAAGAGTCCTCTTTCTCCCTGGAGAAGGGCTCTACTAATCTTTTGGTATTTGAATTGTTGGTTGACTTGGTTTTAGTATTTTTGTTTGTTCTGTTATCGTGTGTGTGTGTGTGTGTGTGTGTGTGTGTGTGTGTGTGTGTGTTTTGTTTGTTTGCTTATTTGTATTGAGATGAGTGTCTTACTATGTAGCCCTGGCTGGCCTGGATCTCAGTATAGACCAGGCTAGCCTCAAACTCATAGAGATCCACCTGCCTCTGCCTCATGAGTGCTAGGATCAAAGGCATGTACCATCACACCCAGCCAGTTGGTTTTGTTTTTGAGATAGGGTCTCCATTGTGGGCTGACTGGCCACAAATTCTAATAGTAACCAAGGGTAACCTTGAACTCCTGATTCTCCTTCCTCTCTCCAACTCCTGAGCGCTGAAATTACAGGTGTGTGCCACTACTCCTGGCTCTATTATTTACATTGTTAATGTTTTTAAAATTGTTTTTGAGGAGCTATGCAGAGATGCTTATCGGTTATGAGCACCGACTGCTCTGAGGTTCAGTTCCCAGTACTCACATGGCAGCTAACAACTGTATGTAACTCTAGTTCCAGGAGATCCAACACCCTCCTTTGGCCTCTGTAGGCACTGCTCATACATTGTACACATACATACATGCAGGCAAATACTCATATACATAAAATAAAAAATAAAAATAAGAGTTGTAGGGTGTTTTATTTTATTTTTTTTTATTTATTTTTTTCATCTTTTTGAGACAGGGTTTCCCTGTAGCCCCAGCTGGCCTGGAACTCACTATGTAGACCAGGCTGGCCTAGAACTCACAGAGATCTACCTTCCTTTGCCTCCCGAGTGCTGGGACTAAAAGCATACACCACCACACCCCACTTTAAAAGTTGTTCTTGAACTTCCCGTGTAGTTGAACTCCTGATCCTCACTTCTCTACCTCCACCAATTGCACTGAAAATGATATGCATAGATATCTTGCCTCTCTAATTCTCTGATAGTCTGCATAAGTAATAGACTCTAGATCCCAAAACTTTTCTTCCCAGCATCCCCTGGCATAGAGTGGTACATATTTAAAATGTGGACATTAAATATTGGCGGATTGACTGTCAAGGACAGTAGGAGTCTATCAGCCTTCTGAAAGCTGGGGGGGGGGTGCTTAGAGTCTATAGACATCCAGTAACCAGACCCCTGGCTTCCTGACTCATGAGTTGAGAAGGTCAGAATAACACAGTGCCTGTGATGGCTTGCCTCTAAATAGCACTGAACCATTTCTGACTTTTACACACACACACACACAAACACACACACACACAGACACACAGTGCTTGCAACCCTGTAGATGTCCAAAGGTAGATAGGATTCCACAAGACAGTCATTATTAAAGGTAGATAGGATTCCACAAGATAGGTATAATTATCTCTATTTTATAGATTTTTAAAAACAGATTCATAGAGGCTAAACCCAGCCATGAATTTTAACCATCTGTTTTAGCCCTTTGGACTCCACTGTACTGAACCATCCCACCACAAAGTACCTTCTCACCTACTGCATAGCCCTTACCATTTTCTGCCTTCTGGATGGTGCACACCCTTCCTCCCTAGCCACCCTTTCACCCTGAGATGCTAGCTGTAGGACCCTGCTGCTCAGGCTGTTACCTGTTCCCATTCTCTGCTGGTGGCCTTTGGCTACAGTGGTCACCCTGACTCTGCACAGCCTGCAGCCATTTCACCCTTCACCAGCCTCTGAATCCCGCACCCATGTGCTGCATGCAACAAATCAAAGCCTATGATTTACTCATTTATTGTGCTTGTTTGTTGGGACAGTATCTCATGTAGCCTAGGCTGGCCTTGAATGTGTATGTAGCCAAGGATGACCTTGAACTTTTTTTGGGTGGGGGCGGAGGGGATTCTCACTGTGTATCCCTGAAGGCCTTGAATTCACCAAGATCCTCCAGGGTACTGGGATTAAAAAGGTGTGTGCTAACTCATCCGGGAACTTTTAATTTGTGATTCTCGTGCATCTACCTCTCCAGTGCTGAGATTACAGGTATGCAATACCACGCCCTGTTTATTCAGTGATGGAGATGAACTCAGGGCTTCAAGCATGCTAGGTAAGCATTCTACTGACTGAATGACTTTTCCAGCCCCATATTTTATAGTTGCTTCTTAAAAAATTTTTTTAAATTTATTATTTTTATTTTATGTGTATGAGTATATTGCCTGCATATATGTGAGTGCACCCATGTCGTGCAATGCCGCAGAGGTCAAAAGAGAGCTTTGGATTCCCCTGGAACTGGAGTTAAGGATGGTTCGTAGCCGCCATGTGGGTGCTGGGAATCAAACCTGGGTCCTCTGCAAGAGCAGTCAGTGCTCTTAACCCCTCAGCCATCTCTCCAGCCCCCCTTTTTTTTTTTTTTTAAAGCCAGGGTCTCACCCAGGCTGGCTTCAAACTCATGGCAATCCTCTGCCTCAGCCTCCTGAGTGCTGAGATTACAGTTGTGTGCCACCACACCTGACACATAAAAAACTTAATTTAAAAAGACCCAGTTGGGATCTCAGCAGACCACCAAAGAGTGCCGAGTCCTGGCCTCCCTCTGACAGAGGCCCTGAGAATGCAGGGGACTGCCTCAGAGCCCCGGATCCTGCCTCCACATGGTGAAGCCTTTGAGAGGGAACTGACACTGATTCTAACCACTCCAACAGCTATCAAAATACCTGAAAGCACATCTGAATCCATCACTCTAGAGTCCAGCCTTGGCAGACAAAAGAAAAATGAGGAGGAACCCAATAGAGAGATGCTTTTGGGAGCCCTTGTCAAGAAATTCCGATGGACTCTCATTTGAACATTTGAAAATTGCCCTGCTCTGACTTTTTTCTAGTTCCCTGTCTCGAACTTGTTAATGCTAATTACTCTTGCCTTTACTTCTCCTTCATATCTCCTATTCAGGATTCAAGGACTTTCTTTTTCTTCTTAGAGATAAGAGTTAAGCAATTTGTGAGTCTTTTAGATAGACCCACTGAAGGGGTACTCCAATTGTTTCACCCTGTGTCCCTGTTCAGCATGAAGACCCCAAAGAAAAGTAGCAGTTTCTTTGCTAAAACTCACAATGTCCTTGGCCCTCTTAGCAACCTACTCTGTTCTAAAGGCCAAAAATGTCAAAAATATTTGGGAGGTTTTATCTAATCCTTAAAAGATTTTAGGGTTACCTCTTTAGAGAGGGGAATGTTAGAGTAGCCAAAAACCCCATAAAAAATAAATAAATAAATCAAGAAGAAAGAGTACATGAAGTTATCAGAAAAAAAGTGATGGGGAGATATGGGAGGAGTTGGAAGGGAGGGAGTGGGCATGGCTTTGATCAAAACACATTATATGCATGTATGAAGTTCTCAATGAATTATTTATTAAAAAAAAAAAGACCCAGACATTGCCTACCCCCTCACCTGGAATTTGAGGTCACCCAGACCCCTGGTGATGGGGGGAGAGCCAGGGGACCATAGGGAGGCCAGACGTATCTACACTCACTAGAAATGGTGCCTCCAGCAAGGCAGGGTGGGATATGGCAGGGCAGGGCCAGCCAGCTGGCTTCTGGGCTATGTCCAGTGCCAGCTGTTCCCATTACTGGTGGGGCTTAACTGTCTCTCTCACTGGAAGCCCAGCTGCGGTGTAGCTTGGGCTGCCGGGAACCAGTGCGCTATTCTGGGAGTGTGATGGAGCCGGGCAGCAGCTGAAACTTCGGCCCCTTTGGTTTCCAGGCTGGTCTCCTCCCTGCTGATGATAAAGCAGAGTTCAGTCATTATGCACAGTTGAGAACCACTGATGGTGTGTTTGAGGGTCTTAATAGCAGTTGTGGCCACATCAATGTGGGATCTGGCAGAAGTAGCCTGTGTTCACCCCTCGGCAGCAGTAGCCTTTTTTCTTTCTGTCACTCACGTGGCCCACAGTTGGTTTCTTCCAGTTTAAAAAAATTAACCCACTCGTAGGCCTTCTTGTGTGATTCTTTCCAGGTAAATCCTGTGACCGATTTATTGGTCCTTGCTTGCTTTATTGTTAGGTTTTTTAAAATTATGTTTTGGTGTGCATGTATGTGGGTATGTGTACTTGAGCGCACATGCCTGAGGAGACCAGAGGCATTGGATTCCCCTGGAGCTGGATTTACAGACTATTGTTACCCACCATGTGGGAGCTAGGAACCAAGCCTGGGTCCTCTGCAAGAATAGCCAGAGTCTAACTGCTGGGCCATCTCTCCATCCCCCACCCCCTGCTTTTTTTTTTTTTTTTTTTTTTTTTAAACAGGGTCGTGGTTGCCTACCTGGGTGCCTTCACCTGTGTCCATGTCTTTGGTTTGGAATTTCTGCCTTTATGTATCTCTTCAACATTACCACCCCCACCCCACCCCCATATCTTTTGGCCTCCACATCCGCTTTGTGATTTCTTTCTTTTTTAATTTCCTTACCAAAAGTTTAAGCACACAGTACAATATTGCTAATCATCATTACACTATACAGCTAATTTCTAGGATTTCTTCATCCTGAAATATTTACTGAAGCTTAATTTTTTTTTGGTCTTTTTGAGACAGGGTCTCCCTGTAGCCTCAGTTAGCTTAGAACTTGTTATATAGACCAGACTGGACTTGATCTCACAGAGATCTGCCTGCCCCTGCCTCCTGAGTGCTGGGATTAAAGGCATGGGCCACTGCACCCAGCATCATCCCCCACTTAAAAAAAAGTATTATTTATGTGTGTGTGCATGTGCATCTATGTACACTAGGTCAGAAGAGAGCATCAGAACCCCTGGAGCTGAGCTACAAGCAGTTGTGGGTGGCCCAGCGTGGGTGGCCCAGCGTGGGTGGCCCAGCGTGGGTGGCCCAGCGTGGGTGCTGGAGCTGAACTCCAGCCCTCTGAAGGAACTGCAAGTGCTTTTAACTGATGGGTCTTCTCTCCAGCCCCGTTCTTGCCTTTTAAATTGAGCCTATGTGATTCCACAATGTAATAAAAACACAAAGACCAAAATATTAGACTTGGAACCAAACCCAACCTAGAACAAAGCCAAGCCCCCAGTACTAAGAAGCTCCCCAAATTTAGGGTCCTCATGTGGGATTAGCGGCCAGGGTGAATTGAGAACCTGGGTCACACACTGATGGACAAGTGTCCTAGTTTGCTTCTCTGTTACTCTGATAAAACCCTGGCCAAAAGCAACTTGGGGAGGAAAGAGTTTATTTGGCTTACAGATTACAGTCCAGCATTGAGGGAAACCAGAGCAGGAACTCGAGGCAGGAACCTGGAGGCAGGAACTGAAACAGAGACCACAGAGGAATGCTGCTTACTGGCTTGCTCAACTACATTTCTTATACTGCCCAGGCCCAGCTGCCTAGGGATGGCACCACCCACAATGGACTGGGCCCTCCTACATCATTTAGCAATCAAGAAAATGCCCCCACAGACATGCCCACAGGCCAGTCTGATGGAAGCAGTTCTTCAGCTGAAGCTCACTCTTTCCAGATATGTTGAGATTTGTGTCAAGTTGACAATAACTAACCAGCACAGACAGAACACTCACAGAGCTAGCAAGGTGGCAGAGGAGCCCAAGGAGCACAGAAGTTGCTCATCTGTAAAATGGGTGACACCCGCTGCCTCAGGGGATCACTGTGGAGGTGATGTGGAGCCACCCACCTTGGGAATAGCTGCATTTCCGGAGCTCTGAGTCTTGGATTCATCTCCCCAGTCTGCAATGAACTGGGCAAGAAGTTCGCATCAGTGAAAGGAAGCTGGGTCCTAGGCTAATGCTTGAGAATCAGCTGTACCCACTGCTCAGAAAACAGATATCTGAGCCCCTTTCTGACCACAACATCCAAACCTCTGGGAGTCTTCCCTAGATTTTCTCAAACCTTGCTTGATATGATCCCAGTTAAAGACACGGTTCCTTGGAGTAGAAGACCCACCTTCCCAGTCACCCAGGGGCTGATTATGACTATAGATTTTCTTTTCAAGAATTTTTGTTGTTGGGCCTGGAGAGATGGCTCAGCGATTAAGACCACTGGCTGCTCTTGCAGAGAACCTGGGTTGGATTCCCAGCACCCACATGATGGCAACCCTCCGTAACTACAGTTCCAGGGGATCTGTCTGTCTAGACTTAGTTCTGCATCTCAACTGGGCAAGCAGCTCCACTCAGCCCTGAGGCCAGGCTCCTTGGTGATCCTGAAGCTTGGCTCTGTCTTTCCAGCTGCTCTCCAACTGGATTAGTTATCCACCTCCCTCAGTGACTCCCTTTGTATCTGTACCAGCGCTCTGCCCCTAGTAAGGCATCTTTGAACTTTGCTGAGGGATCTTGAACTCTTTTGTAGTCAATTCTAATACATATATATATATATATTACGATATATACATCATATATGTAATTACTGAATTACTCTGTGATATGTGATCTGAGAGTTAACATAATATTAATAATTAAGATAAAAGAACCATTGTTTGACAATGACCAGCTATCCAGAGACATCGGGACTATGTCACAAATTGCAGCCAATGAAACATATAGTTTGTGAATTTATTTTTACTTAATAAAATTCTGATCACATCTTTGTTTCTGATCACAAGCTCAGACAGGGGTGGGACCAAAGAGACAATGCAAACCCTCATAAAACATCGTTCCAGCTTTCCTCTTCTTGGTTATCAAAAGCTGTCAGGTCCAGGGAGATGGCTCAGTGGAAACATCCATCAGGGCTAGGAATATAGCTCTGTTGGTAGGGTGCTTGCCTGGGTTCGACCCTCAGTATTGCATGAAATTGGGCATGGTGGCACATGCTTGTAATCCCAGCACTAAAGAGGTAGAAGTAAGAGGATCAGAATTTCAAGGTCAACCCCAGCTACACTGGGAGTTTGAGATCAGCCTGAGATACGTGAGATTCTGTCTCAAAAAAAAAAAGTAAAAGTCATCATCAATGAATTACTTCCTGCTGGTGTCTGACCTTGCGCCTCCACACCGCTGGGGCAAGAGAGGAGCTACTGGGCAATTCGGGGCGGCCGCACCCTCACCCAGTAACCTTCCTTGATGTTTTCCAAGACACCTGGCTGGGAAGAGCGGTCACAATGCTCAGGGCCCACCTGGAGGCTCTTTGCATCCAGTTTTCATAAGTGATCCTGCTCACTCACAGGCAAATTCCACTCGCCACTGATTTTTTCCGCCTCGGCTCTTCTCCCCCTTGCCTCAGTCCGTCACCATCACCGTTTCCTGCTCTCAAGTGGAGGGCGGGAGCCACGTTAGAAGAAAAAGGAAAGTGGGCATTTCTTCCTGGGGAGCCTGAGGCGCCTGGGCCTGAGCTTGTCCAAGGTCACTTTGATCAACTTACACTAGAGCAGTCCAGAGCAGAGGGACAGTAGATATTTTTTACTCCCGACAGCCCTTTCGCCCTAATACCATATTGCATTTCAAAAAACAGTTGTCTTGCTCACCGGGCCATTTCCTAACTAGGGCTGCGAATAGCAGCTCAGCTCCTCCCCTGTCCTTGGACCTGCTCTAGTGATGAAATGAGATCCAGGAGAGCCCGTCTTGGCCCTGGGGGAGCTTGTGCAGTCAGCTGTCTGTGCTCATGCAGGGCCTAGGGTCCCTGTTCTCAGCAGCAGGCCCAGAGCTACAGTCAGACCCCACTGGCTCCCTCCCTACCTCAGCACTTTGTGTGTAGCCAGCCATGAATGGGTAGGCTATGGTTTTGTTTACTAGGTCTAACAGGATGGAGATTCGTATTATTCCATAGCCTCCTAGTTTTAGTATTTTCTATTTTTAGATTCACAGTCTAATGTTTTTTGTAAACTAGCAAAAGAGGCGAATAGATTTTCGTTCATTTTTTGTCTCGTTGATGCCCTACCACAACTAATGGCCTGCTGCAGTGGGCAGGAAAGGTTTATGGACTCAGCGTGTTTGACTACCCATCTATTCTGCTTCTGGTCTCAGTTAAATCAAGAGCACTGTTCAAGGGGCTGGAGACGTGGCTCAGCGGGTAAGAGCACTGGCTTCTTTTGCAGAAGACCTGGTTTCAAATCCCAGCACCCACATGGCAGCTAACAATCAGTTGTAACTCAAGTTTCAGGCGGAGCTGATGCCCTCTTCTGACTTCCTGAGGCATTGCATGACACCCTGCACTTACATACATGCAGGCAATACACTTATACACATAAAATAATTAAAAAAAATATTTTAAAAACAGCACTGTTCAGAGAGTCCAGGTTTACACCTCATTTTGATCACCCAGTCTCTGGCCGTGCAGCCCTGGCCATGTTTTTTACCATCCTGAGCTGTTTTCTCACAGGTATAACAATAACCAACATTGTGTAACAGGACTGTTAGATGTTCTTATTGTTTTTGAGAAAGGTTTTCATGTAGCCTAGGCTGGCCCTGAACTCAATATACAGTCAAGAACGACACTGAACTAATGATCTTCCTGTCTCCACTTCTTAAGTGCTGTATTACAGATATGTGCCACTACACCCAGTTTTTCTGTGCAGTGCTAGGGTTCAGTCCTAGGGTTCTATGCATGTAGGCAACTCCAGTATCAACTGAGCTGCACCCCCAATCCCCGCTGGATGTTTGATATTAACTCCTCAGCCCATCCCTTTTTAAATATTTATTTTTGTTTTATGTGTATGAGAGATCTGCCTGAATGTATATGAGTACCATGGGCATGCACTGCCTACACCGTGTAGGTGCTGGGAACTGAGCACAGGTTCTCTGCAAGAGCAGCCAGTGCTCTTAACTGCTGAGCCATCTCTCTAGCCCAGCCAATGTTCCTTTTTTCTCATTTTTTTGGGGGGGGAGTGAGGGGGTGCTGAAGACAAGGTCTTAACTCTGGCTAACATCTCTTTGGCCCGTGTCTCCCTCCCTGTTTTTGAAACCACTGTTTCTCTAAAAGTTCTGTTTCTGGGCAGACCTGGCACCCCTCCAAGACACACCACCCAGCCCCTTGTTTGAGGTATTTGCTGGCTCCTCTCCAAACCCCCCACCTAGCCATGTATGCCTGGAAATGCAGAAATAGAAAGAGGTCACTGGTCCCAGTGAGCTGGTGAAACCCCCCACCAGTCCTTTTGCTGCTTCAGACCCTGCTTCCTGATCTGCAGATAGTGTGGCTCTGTGATCACAGAGGGCCACTCCATTGTGTGTGGTCAGCCCCCTACAAGAGGGCATCTCCATTTACAAATAAGGAAACAGGCTTGGCAAAAGCTAAGTAGCTCCCACTTATCCCAAGTAAGGGCTGAGCCAGCACTGAATCCTGGAAGTGACTCCAGTATCCAGAACAATACCTGCCGCTGCCCAAAGTCGTGTCTTTGCCTTCTCTGTTCTTTTTACTCTCTGTTTTGACCCATCAGTCTGGGAAACTGGGCCTGACCAAGTCCAAAACTGCTATTCGGGGTAGCTTGGGGACAACTAGACCTGCAGGCAGGTAACCAGACAACCTGGCTCCCAGGCCTGGCTCTGTCACCCCTGTTTGTGGAGCATTGATGTCATTTCCTGCTTGTTAACAAAAGTGGCCGTGCCGCCCACTCCCTGCCATGCTCGTCATGGGTGAAATGAGCTTTTAGCCGTGTTAGAGTGCTTGGGAAGCTGTTTAATGCTCTTCAAATAAAAGGTATTGTCTGTCTCTTTGATTCCTTGGAGGGCCGTGAACATCTGCTTTACAAATATTTGTTGGTTTTAATGGAAGGGCTTCCTATCAAGTTCTGAAGGAGCGAGGTTGCCCGTTCATTCTGCCCTGCAACCAGGGCTCATCATCAAGACTGGTCACTAGGGAGACAACTGGGTCAAATTATTGAGGAGAGACGATGGATGTGGGATTTGGGGCTTCTTATCCCCAAGGTCCAGTGAACAAGGTTGGTAAAGAGAGGATGGGATGGATGAGTCTTCCAGATTATTATGGCTATATAAATGAACTACTCAAAATTGAGTAGCTTAAAACAATAACACCTATTATTTTGTTGTTTTTGTTTTTTGAGACAGGGTCTCACTATGCAGCCCTGGCTGGCCTGGAACTTGCTATATAGGCTGGCCTCAAACTCACAGAGATCCACCTGCCTCTGCCTCCCACGAGCTAGACTGAAGGTTTGGACCACCACACCTGGCTAAGCACAACCCTTGTTTATTTTTTGAGATAAAATCTCTTTATGTAGATTATATACACTAGCCTCAAACTCACAATCCATCTGCCTCAGCTCCTGAATGCTGGCATTGCAGGTGTGTGCCACCATATTCTGGTATGTAGTACTAATCTTACCTTAATATTTTCTTTAATTACATCTATAAAGGCCCAGTTTCCAATAAAGGTCACATTCTAAGCTTCCAAGCGGTCATGTAGTATGCATTGGTGGTACAGTGGTGAGCACAGCTGCCTTCCAAGTGGTCATGGAAAACAGTCAGTCAGGTGTGGTGGTACAAGCCTGTTGCCTGAGCACTTGGGATTGGAGGCAGGAGGATCCTGAGTTCACTGACAGCCTGAACTATATAGTAATACTGTCTCTCCAAACCAGCAACAAAAAACAGTGAGGGACACCAAGCAACTTTTCTTTTGGTCTTTTTGAGACAGGGTCTCCCTGTAGCCCCAGCTACCTATGTAGACCAGGTTGGCCTTGAACTCACAGAGATCTGTCTGCCTCTGTCTCCCAAGTTAAAGACATGTGTCACCACGCCCGGCTACCAAGCAACTTTTTACATTCAGTCTCTGGATGTTTACTGTACTGATGTCCAAAGATCTTTCCGCCCAGGACAGTTTCAGCTTTCCTAGAAGAGACCGGCAGGTGTAGCAGAGGCAGGACCCCCAACTGAGCACATGGGTCTCAGCTGCCCCTGCATAGCCGGACCCATCTGCCTGCTGTCTGCAGAAACAGCACCCCAGGTTCCTCATACCCTGTCCTTTTCTTGTATGTCAGCATTCATAGCTCCCTTCTGACTATAGTTAAATCGGTGTACCCTTGGATGAGTTACTGCTTCTAAGCCTCGGTTTCCTCCTCTGTAAAATGGGAATGACCATTGCTGCCTCCTAGCACTGTCATGACTATTAAATAAGATGCTGGGGCCAGCAAGATGGCTCAGTGGGTGAAGTTGCTTGCTGCCCAGCCTGATAATCTGTGTTTGATCCTTGGAACACTTGTAAGTTGTTCTCTAACCTTCACATGCATGCCATGGTACACAGGCACGCACACACACACACACACACACACACACACACACACACACGAAATAAATGAATGAATGTAATAAAAAATATTTTTAAACAAGATGCATGGCTGGCGCTGGGCATAGTGGCACATATCTGTAGTACTAGCAACTCCAGAGGCTGAGGCAGGAGGATTGCAATGAAGTTGAGGGCAGGATGAGCCACATAGCCAGGCATTATCGCAGCAGATTAAGACAGAAGGTACAAGGTTGTAGCTTAGTAGCAGAGCGCTTGCCTAGTGTGTGTGATGCGCTGGGTTCAATATCCCCAGCACCACAAAAAAGAAAAGAAAAGAAAAAAGTACCACAGTGTTTCCTAGCATGATGGAGCTGCCCACTGAGCAAACTAATAGCTCTGACCACAGGTACGGCCCTGTCCATGTGCGTATCTGTATTCCGCATATATGAAGCATATAGCTTCAGAGGGGTTACATGGTCCAAAACGCGGAACTCTGAGAGCCAAGAACAAATTTGCCCCCAGTTTCTGTGTAACTGTGGTGGTGGTGGCGGGGTATCATTTTTTGAAACAAAGTCCAGGCTATTCTAGAACTCACTATAAAGATCAGGCTGGCCTTGAACTCAGCGTACAGCTAAAGATGACGTTGAACTTCTGACCTTCCTGCCTCCACCTCCAGGGTACTGGGATTACAGACATGTGCCACCATTCCTGGTTTTATGTTGCACTGGGGATGGAACCCAGGGCTTCATGCATGCTAGACAAGCACTCTGCCAGCTAAGCTACATCCCTAGTCACACTACTTGCTCTTACAAATGAAGTTTTATTGAAACATGGCCTCATGGATTTGTTACCTATCAACCGCCTCTGTTTTCAAGCTACATTGACAAAGTAACACGGCAGTGACAGAGACTTCAAGGCCCTGCAGTCAAACATCCTTGCTATCTGGCCCTTTACAAAGAGTTTGGGCACCCCTGCATTAGGGAAACCACTCTGCTTCCTATGGTCCCAGCACAGACAGCCATTGGGCAGACAGAAGCGTGTAAGAGATTCCTGTTTAATATCTGATAGTCTTTTGGAGAGGATGTTCTGATATCAAGACTTATTCAGGACTAGAGCCCGGCTAGGGGCCAGGGTGGCCCTGACTTCACCCCTGCCCTTGGCCTGCTGCTGGCCACCAAGCAGCTGCAGTGCCCCTTGGGCTTTGAGTAGCCACCAGCACAAGACATCTGTTTTCCCACCACCTCACAGCCCAGGAAGACAGGGCAAGACTTACTTCCAGTGCAGAGACATTCCTGCCTCCCAGTCCAAGCCCAAACTGACTGCACAGCCTGGGGGCAGAGGGTGTCTGTTACCCAGCCTGAGATTGAGCGGCTGTAACTTGAGCCCTGGTAGAGTGATCTGGTTGTTGTGGCTGTTGGCACTCTCCTCCCCCATTCCTGCCCTCTCTTCCCACTAAAGGAAGAGTGAGGCCCAGGGAGGCTGCCCTCTTGTCATTGGTCAGAATGACAGTCTGTCAGCATTGCCTGATTAGGCGGTACAGAGATCTCCTTACTGGGTTCTCTTCCTTGCTCTGACCCCTGTCCCTTCCCAGACTTGGTAGGGGCTCTGAGAAAAGGCACAGCCTGCCTTGTAGGGGCTTTGCACTGGAAAATCGGGGCACCCACCTTAGCGGCCGTGGACTTCAGACAGCGAGTAAACAGATGTACATGCACACGGCTCCCTTCTTCCTCCCTGCCCAGTGAAGTGTGCCATCCCCGGCTGTGCCTTTGGGCACTGAAAGCTGCTGGCTTGGCCTGGCTACAATGCCTGCTGAGCCAGCAACCCACCCAGAACGCCAGCTTCAGCCAGCCGGCTCCTGGGGAGGGTGCCCCAGCGCTCAGCCTCTTTACTAGGTGGGCTCCTGCCCTAGCCATTGATTTTTTTTTTAATGCATTCTGTGCTGACTCTATTCTGTTCTCCAATGTCCCTCTCTCTGGCACAGTGAGCTTGCCAGGAAGAAACATATGCCCCAAACCTGGGAGGGAGGAGTGGGGAGGGAAGAGCCAACCCCCTCTGCAACACAGAGCCGGCCCAGAGACCACTGGCTCTTCCTACCACCAGGGACCTCCTCCCAGCTGATTCACTGGCACCCTCAGATTTCCAGCATCCAGGAAATCAGCTGTTGTGTTGTGAAATTGATTTGATAAATGCTGAGACCCATAGTAGAGGCTGTGAAGAGTGACTGGCAGCTCATCAGGGCCGGAAGGTACAGACCTCGAAGTGCACTATTTGCATTGCCTTATTTAGTCGCTGTGAATATTTACAAACTGGTGTGCTTTGCTTTTGGTGATAGGGATGGAACCCAGGGTCTTCAGGATGCAAAGCACATACTTCAGCACTGAGCTACACCTCTAGCCCTACGATTGTTTTAATCATAAAAGGAATTTATATTTTTTAAAAAAGTATTTTATTATTTTTATTTTATTTTATGTGCATGAGTGTATTGCCTACGTGTATGTAAGTGCACCTATGTCCTACAATGCCCGAGGTCAGAAGAGGGCATCTGATCCCCTGGAACTGGTTGTTAGTCACCATGTGGGTGCTGGGAATCAAACCCCGGCCCTTTGCAAGAACAGCCAGTGCGCTTAACCACCGAGCCATCTCTCCAACCCCTTGAGACTTTTCTTATAAACACTGACCAACTGGAAGTGAGTGGAAGAAGGCAAATTTGCATCTTTCATGTTCCTCGGGCTCAATACAACCTGGTCTACTAAAAGGAGACGAATGGCTGTTCCTGAACTTTCTATAAAATCAGCATTTCTCCTCCTTTTCTTTCCCCAGAGGTTTTATCTAGATCTCACAATGTTGAAGACTTACCATAAGCAAAGAAATAAAATTGAGGCATCATAAATCTATACCTTATAAAAGCCAGATAAAAAAGCGATTGAAGGGCTGGGATGTAGCTCAGTTGACCGAGTGCTTGCCTGGCATATACAAATCCCGGGTACCACATAAACAGGGCATGATGGCACACGCCTGCAGTCCCAGCACTAGGGAGGCAGGGGCAGGAGGATCAGAACTTCAAGGTCATCTCTGGCTCCATATGGAGTTCAAGGCCAGTATACCCGAGACCCTGTCTCAAAGAAACAGATCACACACAAAAGACTGAAGACATTGTGAGATGGCTCTTCAATTTCTGTAGAAGGGCAAAGGATTGAAAAACCCAAAACAATTTTGAAAACGAAGAATAACAAAATGGTAGGATTTGAAGTCACACCATGTCTTTCTTTTCTTCTTTTTGGCCTTTTGAGACAGGGTCTCCCTGTAGCTCCAACTGACCTGGAACTCACTCTGTAGACCAGGCTGGCCTCGAACTCCCAGAGATCCGCCTGCCTCTGCCTCCCGAGTGCTGGGATTAAAGGCATGCACCACCATGCTTGGCCATACTATGTTTTTCTATTAAGGACTTCCTGTAAAGCTATAGCTCTGGGGCTAGAGAGATGGCTCAGTGGTTAAGTACACCTGCTGCTCTTGCAGGGGACCTGGGTTCAATTCCCAGCACCCACATGGCAGCTTACACGAGTCCTTAATTTCAGTTTCAATGGAGCCAAGGCCCTTGTCTGGCCTCCACAGACATTGCACACTCATGATGCACAGACATGCAGGCAAACACTTATAAAATAAAAGTAAATAAATATCTTCAGCATAAGATAAAGCTACAGTTCTTAGGCATTTTTTTGTCCCTCCAGTGCTAGGGGTTCAACACAGGACCTTGTACACTCTCTGCAAACACCCAACACCCATAACTAAAAGTATTTGTAAAACCAACCAGTCAATCAGCCAATCAACCAACCAACCAAACTCTCACTCAGTAAATAAGCTGGGTGGGTATGCACCAGTTATGGTAGTGTGGGCCTTTAATCCCAGGACTTGGGAGGCAGAGGCAGGTGGATCTCTGTGAGTTCAAGGCCAGCCTGGTCTACATAGTGAGTTCCAGGACAGCTGGGGCTACAGGGAGACCCTGTCTCAAAAAGACCAAAAAACAAAACAAAACAAAACAAAAAAACCAAAACAACAACAACAAAAAACTGGGTGTGGTAGCCCAGACCTTTCTACTACACAGCAAGTTCAAGGCCAGACTGGGCTGTATGGAACTGTGTCACATGTCAAAAGAGAAGAACAAAATGGAGTCATCAAGCAAGAGGGCTCAGCGGGTAAAGGTACTTGCTGCCGAGTCCAAAGACCTGAGCCCCCACATGGTGGAAGGAGAGAACCAACTCCTAAAAGTTGTCCCCTGACCTCCACATGTGCACTGTGGCTTGCACACACACACACACACACACACACACACACACACACGCACACACGCACGCCCTAGTACTCAGGAGACAGGAGGATCACCATGAGTTTGAGGCTAACTTTGGCTGCTTAGTGAGTTTCAAGCCTGCTTGGGCTTATAGCGTGAGACTCTGTCTTAAAACACCAACACAGGAGCTGGAGAGACGACTTGGCAGTTAAGAGCACTGGCTGCTCTTGCCCAGGTTTGGTTCCCAGCACCCACATGGTGGCTAACATCCATCCATAGCTTCAGTTTCAGGGAATCTGATGCCCTCTTCTGACCTCTGAGCGCATTGCATGACTGACACAGGTGCACTTACAGACATGCAGGCAAAACACTCATACACATAAAATAAAAATAATAAAATCTTTTTTAAAAAACCCCACAAAAATAGCTAGTTAAAAGGTTATATACTGTGTAATCCTATTTCTATGACATGCTTAAACATACAAAATTGCAGTGTCAGACAGCATCAGTGACTACCGGGCAGGAGCTAAGGGGGCTAGAAAGCTTGGTTCCCCCTAAAGGGGCAGCTTGAGAGAGTTTGGGGGAGTGATGGAACTGTTACATAGTTGTGCATTCTGATCAAGGTAGCAGTTCTGTGAATGAATGGACACAAAAGTCATTTATGCTGTCATGTCGGTTAGCTTTCTGTGACTGTAACAAAACATCTGAGACAATCAACTTTGAAAGAGAAAGTTTGTTTTGGAGAGTTTTAGAGATGGTAGTGGCCCTGTTGCTTTTGTGCTTGTGGCTCTGTGAGTCCATATACACCAGTGAGGAGCACCTGGTGGGGACCTCATGGCAGCCTAGAAGCAAAGAAAAAAAGAAGAAGAGGAGCCAAAGTTCCAATACCACCGATCCCCACTGACCTAACTTCTCCCATCAGACCCTTCCTCCTAAAGGTTCCACCATCTTCCAATTGCATCACAGGCTGGTGAACAAGTGTTCAATATGCGGGTTGTTGGGGGGCACAGTCATGTTCCCACTATAGCTGGGCATAGAAGAGAAAGAGGAAAGATCAGCAAGAGCCGTTGATGCACAGAGAATTTCGTTCTAGGTTCTACAACTGCCCTAGGCAGCTGGCAGCTGACAACCTTGTCTGTCCTAGAACTTACTTTCAAATCCTGGGGTGACCCTGGTCATGGTGGCACTCACCTGTAGTCCCAGCTACTCAGGAGACTGAGGTAGGAAGATCACTTGAGACCAGGAGTTTGACACCATCCTGGACAACATAGGAGAGACGCTGTCATAAAACAAACAAAAAGATAATATTACAGGTGGTTCATATCTATGATCTCAGCCCTTGAGGAGGCTGAAGCGGGGGGGCGGGGATGCACCTTGAGGGTTGTCTCAGTTCAAGGCTAGCCTGGGATATATATCAAGACTGTGTCTGAAAAAAGGGGGGGGAGCTAGAAAGATGTCTCAGTGGTTAAGAGTATATACTGCTCTTGCAGAGGACCCAAGTTTTGTTCCCAGAACCCACATCAGACAGTTTAGCTACCTATAACTCCAGCTCAGGAAATTCAGCTTCTTCCTATGACCTCCATGGGCACCTGCATTCATGTACACACACACACACACACACACACACACACACACACACACACACACACACACCACATAATTAAAAATAAACTTTGGGGCTGGAGAGATGGCTCAGCAGCTAAGGGCACTGACTGCTCTTGCAGAGGACCCAGGTCCAATTCCCAGCACCCATACATATGGTGGCTACAAATCGTCCTTAACTCCAGTTCCAGGGGAATCCAAAGCCCTCTTCTGATCTCTGTGGCATTGCATGACACAGGTGCACTCACATACATGCAGGCAATACACTCATACACATAAAATAAAAATAATAAAATATTTTTAAAAATAAAACAAACGTCAAAAAATAATGGAAGCATTTCTATCATGGAGCTGGTACTCGCATTTTAATTTTTTTATTTTATTTTTTCAGATAGGATCTCTCCGTAGCTCCAGCTGGCCTGGAACTCATTATGTAGACCAGGCTAGCCTTGATCTCACAGTGATTCACCTGCCTCTGACCCTCAAGTTCTGGGATTAAAAGTGTATGCCCCCATGCCTGGCCTGA